CGTATTTATAAAGTTGTGTTCTACGAAAATGCTAAGAGTTACCTTCTATGAATTATGTATCAACTATATAGCTGATGTTAAAGGTATTCCTTTTTGGTAGTATACTGCTCGTGAGGCCACGGTTGACATTATTTTAATGTTATATTGCGTCGTTGGTTCATGTATATGTTGTTAGGACTGGTTTTGGTGATTCTCTAGCAGGTGGTTAGGCCCAATTGCAGAGGACACTCTGCCGAAATTTCTGAAAAAATTGGGAGTTAGCCAAATTTTGGGGCCTTAAGGAAGTTGAAATGTTGGAAGAATATCAAAAATCTATATGAAGTCAAGAACGATTAAAGATGATGGTTAAGGTGAAAGGAGGATAATACAGTGCCTAATAATGACTTGTAAAATATTTGAGGACGAATGTTCTTAAGTGGGGGAGAATGTAACACCCTGAAAAATTTCAAAGTATTTTAAGACCATTATGAATATTAGCTGGTGCTAATTATATTAATTCGGGTATGAATAAGATTGATAATTTGAATGATATCAATTGATCATGATAATATATGTATGAGGTGCATTAAGAATAGTTTACGGTCTAAGAAGAGCCCTAAGGATAAGTCAAGTAGAAAATTATATAATGTGATAAAGTTTCAAGTGAGTTCGCACAAGACTTAACTTCAAATAAGCATAACTCTCAAGATATAAAGAGTTATGTGGTGTATAACCNGCCCGTTAGGACCGCGGGCCCGGTCCGGTCCGGTTCAGGCCCGGCCCACCGAGCAGCATTACGCGAAAGGGGATTTCCTGAGTATTGATTAGCTTGCTCAATGTTGGGTTCGTCTTGTTGAGGTAAGTAACTCTTCTAATCTTGGAGCTGAGGGTATGAACCCTGAATATACGTATTATGTGAATTGGTTGGAGGTAACGCACATACTAGGTGACGGGCGTGTCAGCGTGCACCATAGAAATTGTGACATAAAATTTTGTAGTCAAATAATCTTGGCATTTTCCGTGCAGTTTATGTGTTAAAGAAAATTGAACTGAGAATCATATTTAAAAAAAAATCATGTTGAGGTTATGTGCCAGTATTATTGGGACCCACAAAGGTCATATTGCTGTGAATTATTTGTTTTAAATTGAAAATTCATACTCAGTCATATTCATTTCATTACATATCATATCTCAGTCTCTGTTGTTATTTATTAATACATCATATCATCATTTTCGGGTTATTTTGATGACATTGTGAGCCCATGAGAGAGAGACTGGAGAGATTGATAACTGAGGGAGGCCGAGGGCCTGATAGTGAGGATATTTTTGGGATCGGATTGTACGCCACAGCAGGCCATGTTGGCTTTATATACATTATTATTATTATGTTGATCGGGGATGCCCGCCTGCAACAGGCCTTATAAGCTTTATATAGCACGTGAGTTGTCCGTGCGAATCCAGATATTTATACTATAGCACGTGAGTTGTCCGTGCGGTTTATAGCGCTTGGGCTGAAGGAGCCCCTCCGGAGTCTATACACACCCCCTCCCCCCAGTGAGCACAGGTACCTATTGAGTGCGAGTGCCGAGTGCCGAGCGATTGGAAGGATTGAGTGACTGTGAGGGCTGAGTGATGGGGAGGACTGAGTGAATTGATACTCTGAGAGTATGTGTATGGTATTATCACCGAGATACATTGCATTGACATGCACACATGAGATACATGCATAGAGATGTATTTTTCTCATGTTGTACGATATCACATTATTCATGACTTCTCACACATAATGACCTATGGGCATAATGATGCATTTTTCACTGGTTATCTGGAAAGAAAATAAAATATCTTATTTATTGTGGAAAGGATTTTTTGGAAAATTATTGTTTTCAACTCACTCATATTTTTGGCAACTTCGGTAAACGATTGGATTTTTTTTTTTACTGATGTACTTGAAAGGCACAACTATTTTTAGAAATCATGATTCAGCCGAGCATTTTATATCTGGGTTACTCCTTTTATTACTTGCTTTATGTTGTTATGAATTGTTGTTGTTTGTGGGAGTTGGACTCTCACCTTGGTACAAGCCCGTCACTACTTTCAACCTAAGGTTAGGTTTGTTACTTATTATGTACATGGGTTCGGTTGTACTCATACTACACTTCTGCACCTTGTGTGCAGATTTTGGATGCTGATGTTGTTGTGCATGGCGGGATCTAGCATTGAAGATGTACCTACGATCCAGTCACACCTGCCTCTTGTTCTTGGTATCTATAGAATTATTAATCTGTTCATGTATATTTCAAACAGAAGATGTATTTTATTTCACACCAGCTTTGTAAATTTAAATCTTAGAAGCTCATGATTTTACTACCAGTCCTTGGGGAGTGTATTAGAGTCAGTTAAATATTAATTGAATTGTATTGTTGTTATTTGGCTTACCTAGCAGGTGAGGTTAGGTGCCGTCACGGCTAGTCGGATTTTGGGTCGTGACATCAAACTTTCTAAAAATCTTCCATTTTCCAACTTTCGCCAAAATGCATCAAATTATCCTACGGACTTCCAAATCCAATTCCGGACATACGCCTAAGTCCAAAATCACCATACGAAACTATTGACATCATCAAAATCCCATTCCGGAGTCGTTTGCTCAAAAGTCAAACTCCGGTCAACTCTTTTCATTTAAACTTCAAAAATAAGGATTGTTCTTCCAATTTAATTCTGAACCTTCCAAAACCAAACTTGACCGCACACGCAAGTCATAATACACATTACGAAGCTGCTCAGGACCTTAAGTCACTGAACGAGATGCTAATTCACAAAACGACAAGTCGGGTCGTTACAAGTCGGGTTCACCGGCCCCAGTGTGAAGGGGTAAGTGTAAATACTCAGATAACCCTCCACATGGGTAGTAATGTCATCATCGGGCCCGAGGATTACTATGTCCTTACCCGCCCAGCCACAGTCCTTGTGAATCGCAGGGAGAACGACCTTGGTGATGGAGCAAATGTACCGGGATATCGCCTTGCATCGACCTTGCACCGATGAAGGTTTTTTGACCTTAAAGTCGTCAGCGACCGAACACCCCCCGGGGACGAATATTTTCAAGGGAGGTTCGGTTGCCGGTTTATCGGTATCCGCGCCCGGAGTGGACCTCTCAAGGTCAACCATATTGGGAGCGTTCTTCTCAGCTTTGGCAGTCGGCTTGAAGATGAAGTAACAACTTTTTGGGGAACAATCTTATAAGTCTTCGCCATTGTTATCTAAATTATAATAAGTGAAAAGGAAGATTAGGAAATGAAGGATAAAAGCTTGCTGAGAAAATCAAACGTGCTGGTTCGGGTAAAAAATAAATAAAAACTTACAATTTGCTGGAAACTCTTGAAGAATAGAGGCAAAAATGTTAAGGTAGGAAGAGAGGCAGTGATATCTTGAAGGAACGAGGGTAGAAACTTGGGAAGAAAGTAAAAAAATGAACGAAAGAGGGGAGTATTTATAGGGGCTTCACGCCGTTTGTATCCAAGGATATCCTGCCGTTGACACGCATTTGAGGTAACTATGACAAATATGACAGGACGTTTCGAATCTTTTGTCGTTTCTGCTACGGCGTGTTAGGGAAGGAATCGAGGTGTTCATGTCGTTTCTCGTAGTTTCCGTAAACTTACTCTTCGAGAAACGAGGGGACTATCTCTATACGGGTAAAGCCGAGCCCATGAGATACCTCGCCTTTTGATGAAGCAAACGGAGCAAGTGACGCGACGGCAGGGAACCAGAATCAAGACCAGGAGCCCCTCGAGCCGGGTCCGGGCAAAGCGCCCGGCCTAGAGTGTATCAGGGCCATGACCTCGAGTATGGTTCGAATCCCAAAGGCCTCGGAGAACACTACCGGGTAACTGAGCACGACCAACAAAAGGCCGTGATATCCGTGACCAGCCAGATATCACGGCGTGGACCTCGACACGTATCGGTACAAAATCAGTGATTGGTTAAACAGAATATTCTTTTACCTTTCATAGAATTGTACTTAGGGTAAAACTCCCTTACTATATAAAGGGGGTCTGATTGTTTATTAGGGACACTGTAATACGCATATCAAGTAATATATTATTATTATCTCTGTTATTCAAATTTCTAGTTCTTGTTCATCAGTACTTGGTCATTGTGAGTCCTGGATCGAGGGTGGATATTTTAGTGAGGCTGTTGTTAAGTCCAGTATCACCTTCCTCAAGTGGTTTAATAATTTATTACCCCCTTTATTCGTTTGACGCAATTTATCGTTTGTATCGAATTAATCCACGTATCCTTAAAATCACAAATAAATTTAATTGTTATCTGTTTTCAAGGGTACACATGCATAAGACACACCACACACGTTAAAAAATTTATGACGAAAAATATGAAATAGTGACTTCTTTAATAGAAGTGTTTGGCTCATCCTTCTTCTAAATGAATTGATGCAACGAATTTAACTCCCATTGAATTTTACTTTCTTCTGAGTTGACCATTTAATCTAAGTATCATCGAATGAAGAAAAGTATTTTACACTCAAAAACCACTACCTAGTGGGAATAGTTCAATAGAAAAAGAAAAGGATATCAGGTGCAGTTAGGGGTGAATATTCAGTATTTCGGTTTGGTATTTCGGTATTCGATTTATCAATTGTGTATATCAAATACCGTATCAAATTATTTCGGTACGGTTCGGTATTTCTTATTTTGGTTCGGTACGATTTCGATTTAATAATTGCTAAATAAGCAACACTAACGATTAAGGACTAAGGAGTGCAACAGTGCACAATTCAAACTAACTTGGTAAGCCCTCTTTGACAACGCTGTCGCTAACAGTAAGCAGTTAAGCATCATTATTTCTTTTAACAATTCACAATTCTAAGGAGTGCAGCTGACGCCTGACAATTTCTTTCACAATTCACAATTTACTGAATTCAGTGATCACAATTCTCCGTGCAGTTTAAGGTCTAAGAAGTAAGCACAATTCAAGGCAAGAAGCAGAAACTGTCTGGACGCTAAAAAAATGATACAACATGGATAAACAGAAACTGTCTTCATTTTTCATAGTGCACATTGCACATTACATAATTCACAATTCTGCCTAACTCACACAGTGCAGCAGAATTAAACAAAAATCAGAGATTCTAGCAGTGCAACAGTAGCAACAGAATTAAATTAGTCTTAACAGTGCAACAGTAGCAGCATACTCTAACAATAGCAGCAGAATTAAACACAGTTCAACAAAAACAGAGAGGGCATCCCTCAATTCAAGTTTACACTAATAGTCTCGAATCAACTTAGTCTTAATTCTTAAATACGGATGTCAGGAAGACGCTCAAGACAACACCTAATATGCTTCTTTAAACAATATGTGTCATCCCTCTTTGGATGAACATTATAGACCCGACCACAATGCTTGCACTCTACTTTGCGAACTTCTCCGTTATCTTCTTTCACCTCAAAGTGTTCCCAAATATGAAAGCGTACTTTAGGAGCACAGGGCATGATTGCACTTGATAGTGTACATTTACCTAAAATATAATCAAAATACAGATATTAAAACTTCTCACCTTCGAGTGAAACTAAAAAAGTTCCTCAGCGAGTTCCATCAGAAAATTATATCGACAAATTTTTCAGAGACGTGTCAAGATCAAAGTAATAGTTACTAAGCAAGAATAACTAGAATAATTGCTCAAGCAATTGCAGTGTTTCAACAATTAGACATGGCACTTTTATATTCAATCATGTAGATTCTAGTTCTAAGGGATTAAAAGTTAAACTAAGAGAACACAAGTTGTTCCAGAACTTCCACGTAACAGTGGAGCCACATCCACCATTATCAATATTTCTGCTTCAGGCGAACAATTTCACCAACATAAGATAAGAACACTATGAAGTATTTTAGTCTCAACAGATATGTGACCTATATTGCAATCAAGTTCTAAGCAAACCAAAATCCATAAGCAGATAATACCTCTTTGAGGTCACTGCCAAATTCTTTGACAGTAGATATAGCCACAGTGGCAGCTTCATCAAAAGGATATCTAGTACAAAAAAATAAAGATTAAGCATGGGTAACCATCCATAGCTGCTAAGATTATCTATTGTTCCTAAAGGTGATTATACCGCAGAATCATTTTTCCTAGCTCATTAACATGCAAACAAGTTAGCACAGGTAGTACTCATAAAATAGAAGTTTCAAAACAGTCATCGATGTGGCAATACCTAAAGAGTCGGTTATGTAAAAAAAAAAAGTTACCTCTATGATATGTTCAAACTAAGGACTATTGGACTAACTTTCTCAGTCAACAATCAACACATATCACCAGGATATAAAAATTTATTTGTGCAAAATTTAGGACATGATACACAATGAAACAAATAGACAAAGGAATTGAATCCAATATTCTAAGTGATTCCTAATTTTAAGTGACAACTTTTGCCCAAAAAAATGAGGGGTTAGCTAATTTTAGCTAAAAGAGCACTCAAAAACCACAAAAGAAGGAGATAAGAATAACCCCACCACATAAATGAAAAAGAAATAGAAGAAGGGTTAATGAAAGCACACAGATCTTGTGCAAAAGACCCACCTTTTTCTTTCCAAGAAAACCCTATCAAGAAAAATCGTTAAACCCCACAAAGACCCAGCAAATCAGTAGACCAGTTCAAAAGTGGCTTGCCTAAAAAATAGTACATGAAGTCTTTAATGTAGAGAAAGATAAAGAAAAAAGCAGTCTTTACTCGAACCAGTTACATCTACTTCATCCAAAAACAGGTAACAACTATTTTTCTTTGAAGAAACTAAAGATACCATTGAAGAAACTAAAGATACTTTTGAAGAAACTAGAAACATACCTTTGATTCTTTGAAGTCACAGCAGCCGATCTCTTAGTAGTTAGTATTCTAACAACAAAGGTCTTCTGGATGAAAGAAACTATTGTTGTTTCTGACTTTCTGTCTTTCTCCCTTTCTAAATTCTAATTCCCTAATCGGCTAATCCCTAATTGAACGAATCAGATAAGTGAAAGACTAGAGAGTAGGGCCTTATTAGGTTGGGCTGGGGCGCTGGGCAATGGGCATTAGATATACAACTTGGGCTAGGCAGCTATAGGTTCAACTTAAAATTTGGTATTTCGGTATACCAAAATTTCAAGGTCCTAATACCGAGGACCGTACCGTTATACCGAAATACCGAAAATGTAATACCGAATTAAACCGAAATACTGAATTAATTCGATCCGGTTCGGAATTCGATTTTTCTGATTTTATGCCCATCCCTAAGTGCAATAAGAGAATATGTGATTTTTTCTTTTTAAGGAAATACAATAATTTGCATAATTATTCAGATTCATGGTCCAAATCGCAAAGGTATATAAGTCAAATATCGTATCAAGTAAAAACCGGCGATTACATCATCGATGACCCACCAAAATTAATGAAAAAGACCAAAGCTAATATGCTTTAATAAAGAAATTCATCTATATTTTGGTTGATTACCCAAATACGTATAGAAAAAGGCAAGTAGTCAATATATTGAATGAGGATTTTCGGCGTTATTGAAATTAACCAATTCAAATATTTCAGCGTTCAATCGAGTTTGCTATGTTCAAAAGAGAAGTTGCAGATACGTTCTTGCTAGAAGGATTTATAGATTTTATTACAACGGATGTGTTAAAATTATATTCCATGTTTGACTCCAAAGAAGGAACAAAGAACAATTGTCTATATAAAGAGATATTAATGGTAATTATAATTTTATCCAAAAACATAATACATTTAATAAAAATGAAAAAACCATTAACATTTTGAAACAAACCGAATAACAACCAAACCAACTAGCTATATTGATTCACTGAACGGGATTACAAATAAGTGGAAATTGCAATGAAACAGTAAAAGATAATTGAGAGATAACAGAGAGGGATGAGAGGACAGAAATACACAGATGAGAATCTTAGACAGAAAGAGATGAGAAGTACAGAGCTTTTCACATAACATTTGCCTAATCTTCAAACCCCAGACGATAACCCCTTTTATTCACGTAGTCACGTGCTTCCTTAACCAGGATCCCAGATAAATCTTTTGTTGGGCTTTCTAAATCTTGGACCTCTTCGCGGTTTAACCCCGGCCCGACAGTCTCTGTCCAAATATCTGGCCCATACACATTATTTGAGTTATCTTGGTTCCCAACAATACTCCCGCCCTCAAAAAGAACATTGTCCTCAAGGTTTGAGTAGAGCCACACTAACAGTATATTAGTGAATCTGTCAAGACTTGAATATGTGTCAAGAGCTGACCAATGTCTATCAACCTTAAGAATTGATGAATTAAATTTAGTGCCCTTTTCCACTTCTAAATTACCAAGAGGAAAAACAGAAGCCACAAATCTAAAAATTGCTTCCTGTTCCTTCACCCTAAGTGCAATAATTTCTATTACCTTCTTTATACCAAGAGAGCCATGAGAACCAGTAACACTTACTAGTTTATAGCAATAAGACTGATTGAGGTAGTCAAATGATTCAGGATCCCCCAACCTACACCTTTTGTTCATCTCCACGGGTACTGCATAGAGAATATAGAAACAATGATGATTCTGTTAAAGAACTAAAAATAATAATTCTTGAGATCTTTCAAGGAGAAGCATTTCCTTTTCGACACTAGATACTCTTCTAGACTTGTCAAACCGAGCCTCCAGAAATATACCACAACAACTTGAATTGTCAGTTCGTACTGTTTTGGCATTGCTAATTAGTTCAAGTACTGGATTTGACTTAAGAAGTTGCTGGTCCCTACTGTGTTCTGCAATACTTATACAACCAACAAAATAGGCAAGATAACACATAGGCCTCCTAGTAGTTGTAACCTTTCCAACTCTACTCTTAGGATCAACCAAGATAGAAGTGCTTTTACCCTCAATTATCATTGGCATGTGAACACTATCAGCAACAACAATTGAAGCTCTTTTCATCAAATCAACCTCTACATCATCTAATAAAAGCACGCTTTCCATCATAGTCAAGCTACAAGTATGTAGTGCAGCAAACTCATACAATGAAGAATCGGGCTGGAACTCAATAATTCTGTCACCCGGATCTAAAATAGATCGTAGTATAAAAATAATGAAGTCATCGGCACCACATCTAGCAACTGCTATGGCAAAATCAGTTAGCAAAAGGTAAGAATGGGTACCCCATTTCCGTACAAGATCCCATACTTGAGTCATAGGGTTAGCATATGTAATGAGGTAAAACTTGCCAGTAGATCCCACCAATAATAATATCGCAATGTTCATTGTATAACTTGTTAGAGCCATGAACTTGGAATGTATTCCTTGATCCCATACAAAAAGATTCATTGCAGGTTGTTGAGCAAGTAAATAATAATCAGTTACTCTTGCATGCTGAAACTTCATATTTCTACAAGGTGAAATAGAAAAGTCAAGGAAAAGGAGATTTTCGTCGCAGCTAGGCATATTCTTCTCAGTTCCCCCACAACAGCAACTCATCCAGTCAAAGAAAATCTGATCTTCACTCAACTTAGACAAAGCATCCAAGCTTGCTAAGTCCATAAGAGGCCAAAGCTTAACTATTTCTTCTTTAGCATTCTTTCCCACGAGGACACTGCCAGTAGACCAAATGCCAACAGCAGTGGTGTACTTTGTTTCTCCAAATATAAGCTCTGTCGCTCTATAATACTGAGAGCAGATGTAAGAAATATTTGGTTCTCTTTCAATCAGCGCTTTAGCATGTCCCCAGTCACATAAATTGACTGGAGAAGCCTGTAAATCCACTAAAAGATTATGATGTTTAATGTCTTTGCGATGTATGCCGATAGTGCGACAATCGTAGGACAATGCCCCAAAAGTCTGAAATGTGTAAAGCGTCACAGGTAAGAGAGTGTGTTTAGATGTCCTAGGTTGCAATTGAAGAACCTGGAGGTGTCCGATAGGGGTTACCATTAACAAATACGCACCAGGATCAAATGGAAATTGATTCAAAATACATAGATCATTGGGGATGAAATCAATATGACCCTCTAATATCCTAATAATCTGCTTGAAATCATCTACAATCATGACTGAACAATATCTTGCAGCCCCAACAACTGTGGTGAATAAACCAAAACTAGGATCAAATGAAAAGTACGGCGAAGTAGACCTTGCTTTATAAACTAGACCACACACTACAAGCAACAACTTAACGGCTTTATTGGCCTGAATATTTGGTGACTGCTTGGAGTAACTTTCAGCAAATGTCTTGAGTACTCCCTGTATATTCTCCGCCATAGCAGGTTCGCATGTTACAGACAATAAGAAACTATGAAATTTTCTCTCTTGCCCAGTATCAACCCAATTGCATTTGTGTAGGTTAACATCATGGTGATGGAATAACATATTTTGATTAGCACCAACAATGGAAATACTCTCCCAGGAAATCTCCCAATAACATTCGACATGACATATTCTTGTCTAGCAAAAGGAATATGATAACCAGTTATATCCCTTAGAGGAGAAATTTCCAACACCGAAGATGCATTGTCTCTTGCAATTTCTTCCTCTTTATGTTTAGATTCCAATAGTTTAGTTACATTACAGTTGTAACCAGTTAAACTCACAAACGAAGTAATGGGAACCGAGTTTGAAGAAATACCGATCTGATTAACTAGAACCTCAGTTTGCAAGGCCTCAGAGTGAGACTGGTGTGTTGCCATTTCCCAGAGAGCCTTCATAAAACACCTGGACCTCCTCTGATTTTGCATTGTTTAAAGTAGATTCCGTTGTATCAGTAAGGACTTCAACATCTGATCTCTCAGTAGCAAACACCTTGGAATAACAACATTCATGTGACATATTGTCAAACGTCGGGGCTTCAATTTCTGTAGAATATTACTTGATTGCAGCCATGTGACCTTCTGACGATTCGAGCTGCTGTTTACGAAAACGAATTCACACCTTCGCAACAAAGTGTTCCCAATCCGTCAATTGCTTGTTCCGGAGAAGCCATCGGAACCACTCTAACGCCTCACCTTCGAGGTAAATAGACGCGCGTAATAATTTATTGTTTTCTGATGTGCCGTAGAATTCAAAGTAGCGTTCAGCCTGAGAAATTCATAACTCTGGATCCTCACCACAGAATCGTCGGAATTCCACCGGAGTAGGCTTACTCGTTGCAAGGTTTTGAATCAACTCATGTAACAATGAACGAATTTCAGTGATATCCTTAGACCACGAATCCTTCACGGCCTTAATTGAATCATCGATAGTTCAAAATATTTGGTCCTCTATTGAAGACCTCTAGATGAAAGCACCAATGAAACAAACTGAATAACAACCAAACCAACTAGCTATATTGATTCACTGAACGAGATTACAAATAACTGAAAATTGCAATGAAACAGTAAGAGATAATTGAGAGATAACAGAGGGATGGGAGGACAGAAATACACAGATGAGAAGCTTAGACAGAAAGAGATGGGAAGTACAGAGCTTTTCACATAACATTTGCCTAATCTTCAAACCTAGACGATAACCCCTTTTATTCACGTAGTCACGCGCTTCCTTAACCAGGATCCCAAACAAATCTTTTGTTGGGCTTTCTAAATCTTGGACCTCTTCGCGGTTTAGCCCCCGACCCGACAGTCTCTGTCCAAATATCTGGCCCATACACATTATTTTAGTTATCTTGGTTCACAACACATTTCTCATTGAAGTCAAATATAAAAAACTATTATTAAATTTAAAATCATATTTTCGTGTTGGAGTCGCAAATATAAAAGACTTTGAGAAGAAAAAGGACATAAGGATATTGTCAATTTTAATATCATATTTTTGGTTATATTGCCTTTCCTTTTTGTCAATTTAAGGATATTGTCAATTTAAAATTTTGGTTATATTAAAATTTTAATATCAATTTTAATATCATAAGGAAAGGTTATATTGCTTTTCCTTCTTCACTTGAAAAAAATAAAGCACGCTCTTTCTCAAACCCTAACGGAAGTTGTAGATTTAGAATCGACTTCATT